GAAGTCGGAGTATCGCCTCTCGTGGCCGCGGAATATATCGGCCATGTTTTGGTTGGGTAGGTGGGTCGATGAACTCTTGGGGGTGTGCGGGTGTATGTATTGTGATTCATGCAACTGTAATGCCGAGGTTTGAGGAGATGAGGTCGGATCTTGGACCGGGCTTGGTCTTTATTTTGAACTGATCTCGCGCGCTCGCGCCTGTCGTGTTAATTGGGCCAACAATTTTGGACCCGAGTCCTCTAGTGACATCAAATCTAAATGCAAATTACTCATCGGTGTTGAGTGGACCCGTGAGTCACGTCTCAAAAATATTAATTTCGAATGAATAGAACTTTTTACATGGCTAGACGGAGGGTCAAACCACGACGGGTTCACCCCAAATTTGGTGTGGTTCAGGTATATTCTGTTTTGCCATTAGATCTTCTATCCCCTTAGAAGATGATGATGAAGGGACACTAGTATTTTTCTTCCTGGAGATAGTTCTCCATGAGTTTGGGTGAGTCGGAGTATAACTCCTTCCATTGTTGTTATCTCCACTCCTTCCCCTCCCCCTTTGGGAGGAGTTATTGCGGCGCATGGGTACCCTGTAAAAATTCACGTGTTAGAAAATTAGGTAAAATGATTATCTTGTCCACGTATATAATCAATTTTAAATTGATACATTACCAACTCGGCTTGCCATCTGGCAAATATCTGTTTAGAAACAAGATTTTAGACATCTTGTACTAAGACTATCTTAACAGAACTGCAATCTATTTTTAATAGAAATTGCTGATTGAGAATATCATCTCGAAATTTGTAAAAACATTTTACAATAGCTAGCATCTCCTTATATATATATATATATATATATATATATCATACTCCCTTTAAAAGTACGAGTTTGGAAAAATCTTTCTATGGCCAATATTACTCTTAGGTTTTTTTGAATATTACATTATTATCCTAATCTATTCTAATTATCTCATCTTCTAACCAAATGATTTAATCTATTCATAATACGACTTAACATGTTATTGGATAAAATAGATACGTTTCATATAATTCAAATCTTTTACTTATTTAAGTTCGTAGAGAAATCTAAAAAACATACTAGCCAACAGCTAAAAGTTTTTGGACTTTGTAAAAAATATTCTCCAAGTTTTTTATATTACAAAAAAGCCCCTATAAATTCTAATTTTTATTAAAGCATCTTAAAAATTATAAATTTTATTTATCTCAATTTAGTGAGAAATCTAAAAAATATATGCTAATTAGAAACTGAAAGTTTTTGACTTTGGGGAAAATATCTTGTAAGTTTTATAAATTACAAAAACACCGCTAAAAGTTTAAAATTTATAAAAAACACCTTGAAAATGTCAAACTTATAAACATATTAAAAACCTACAAATAACACAAACAACCACCAAAATTTTATAGAATTTGCAATACATACTCTAAACTTTTTACAAATTATAAAATAAAACCCTCAAAACTATAAAATTTACAAAAATCTGATAATTTCTGACCTAACAGTATATTAAAAATATAGGAATTATAAATATCCCCTACATAATTTATAATTTATAATTTATAAAAAACACCATTAAAGTTTTAAAAATAACAAACAAACATTTAAAAATCAAAAATTACAAAAAACACCGTAAAAAATTAAAATTCATTAGTAAATTGAAAGCATAGGAAGTATTAATAGTTTATAAACAATTTACAATCTGTAGAAAATACCTATAAGGTTAAAAAATTACAAAAAGTCCTAAAATTTTTATAATTTACAAAAAAAAACTCCATGAAAATTTATAACCTATAGACACTAAAATGAATATGCAAAATTACTAGCAACCCCTAAAAATTAAAATTTTGCAAAAAATATCATACATATTTTAAAAGTATAGGTTTAGAAAAATCTTTTCATGGTGAATATTACCCATAAATTTTTTGAAAATAACAAAACTAATTAAAAATCTATTAAATTTGAAATTTATATAAAATACCGTTAAATTTTAGTGCATTGCAAATTACCCCTCAAAAGTTCAAAATTTTTCAATGATTTTTTTTGTAATTTCTTGATTTCAATGTACTGTTTAATAGTTTTGTGTATTTGTAAATTATAAATTTTAGAGTATTTTTTAGCACTTTTAAAACTTTTGAGGGTGTTTATTTTGTAGTTTTCTAAATTTTTATTGTATTTTTAGTGTACTGCACATATGCATCAATTAATGATGATATTGAAGAATAAGTCGTTCTTAAGATTATTAGACCATAGTTAAGTATGTGCATCACTATTCCTATATAGTATAGTTTATATATGTAAAAAATTTTAGACAATCTATGTAGTGGTTAAAAAGATTTTGACTTTAATATACTATTTTTTATAAATTATATTTAATGTGAACCCACCATATAATTTTGACCGTGATCATTATAATTTTTATACGTTTGATTGATTGACTATATACGTATATAGGCCATAGATTATTTTACTTTCTCACATAAGCTAACATTTGGGCCTTAATAAATTAAATTATTACTTTTAAATTCAATATAAAGATGAGCTCTAATAACATTTATTTATTTACCTACAATATAATACAATCTTAATTCCTATTTTTTGCTGAAGATTTATTCCATAGTTACGCGTATCAAATTAGTAACTAAAGTAATAATTATTTATGCTTAAATTAGGATAATTATATTTGGTCACTCACTATAAATTTTTTATGAATATATATACCTTACTTTCTATAGTTATCTACATTGCCCATATATATTTTATAAATTAGTTCTTAATTTGATATATTAAATTACTTTTCCTTTGTAAAAAAATTTTCTTTAACTTTTAGACTGTGTAATCACTATATCACCATTCTAGCATAGAAAGGACCTCACTCTAAATGGCTTCAAAGCTAATGTTTGAGTTGCACTAAAGTATATACTATTGTTACTATGTGTATATATTTTTTAAGAAAATCATGTCAATACTTTTTAGATAGAAGAGAATATTCTAACATCTGATATTATAAAAATTAAATATAGTCAATTGAATGATTAGCAAAAGAGAGCTTACATCAGAAAATTATGAATAATAAGATAAAGAGAAAAAGTAATGACATTGCTAACAATACTACTAATAGCAAACTACAATGTAAAGTTAACCTATTTTGTGGAGCCCAACTACTGGTTACAAGTATCGAGGTTTCCATATATATACTTTATAATTTATTTAAAAAGGTCATATAATCTTATATAATAAAATTAATTTAATATTGAATAGTAATATCATTATTAGAAAAACATTCTTTATAAATTGGTATGCTCTTTATGATATATAAGCTATGTACTCTAAATTCTTGTGTCTTTCATAGAGCCAAAAAGTTTAAATACGAGCCTCTAACATGTCGCTCTCACAACAGCAAAATCCACTTATGAGATATGGATATTCTAGATGAGTTATGTATCTTTTATACAATACAATTATCCTAGACAAGTGTGTTATAAAAGCATTTTTCATTCACATCGTTTTGGGTAAGATTTGATAGAGACCTTACATCAAAGAATTTTTTTTATATTTATAGCACATGGTGAAATATATCATAATCTCCCTGTTCTAATTTCGTAAGAAAATAATTTTTTATACTTTTAGTTTTACTTCTATGATACAGAGAATGAGCTATAAAATTCAATGAGAATATTAGATAATATAAATATGAGCAAAACATCAACTAAAAGTTAACATGAATATGAGTCAACCCACAACTAAAAGTTTAATGGACATATTGCGAGTAAATTCATATGCAAAATTCTTTTGCGAATTGAATGATCACTCATCTTTTAAAGACTTCAAGATACTAATAAATAGAGATGTTGTACTAAATTAATGTGTTTATAACTCACAAATAGTAGATCACGTAGCCACAGTCTGGGTTGAAGAAAATAATGATAATATTTTATTTAAAAGAGAGATTACTGAGTTAATAATCAATCCCACAAAAAAAAATTATTTTTACTCTATTTTTATCAATTTAAACAATCATGATATTCAACCACGTGCATTGCACGTGTATCTCAACTCATGATATTCAACCACATGCATTGCACATGCATCTCAACTCATGATATTCAATCACGTGCATTGCACGTGCATCTCAACTAGTATATATATATATAATATATATATAATATATATATATATATTATATATATATAATATATATATAATATATATATATATATATATATATATATATATATATATATATAATATATATAATATAATATATATATATATATGAGAGAAAGGAGAAACTTGGTACGCAAGTTGCTCCAAAGCAACTTGGTATGATGTGGTCTAATTCTCCTAACATCTACATTAGAGTTGGTGAAGGGTGGTTGAGGCTCTATCTTCGAGGTGTGATAAAGGGGCAAGATTAGGCCACATCCACACTCAAGTTGCTTTAAACAACTTGGTACCAAGGTTCTCCATTTATATATATATATATATATATATATATATATATATATATATATATATATATGAGAGAAATGGGTATGCTTGGTACCAAGTACAAATTTTGTGGCTTGGTAGTGAGGTGTCTCATTCCCATCCACTCATTTCGATTAGGGGACCACATTCAACTCATGTGAATGTGGTCCCCCCATTTGAATGATGGAGGATAATATGCCAACCTACTATCAAACAAAAATTTGTGCTTGGTACTAAGGCCATAGCCCATATTTTCTTTTTATATATATATATATATATATATATATATAATATAATATATAATATATATATATATATATATAAGAGAAATATGGGTATCTTAGTACAAGCACAAATTTTGCTTGATAGTGAGGTGGCAGAGTCCCCTCTACTCATTCAAATGGGGACCACATTCACATGGGTTGAGGAGTGCATGAGGATATGTAACCATTTAAATGAGTGGAGGGGATTATGTCACCTCACTACCAAAGCACAAATTTTTATGCTTGG